TGTACTTTCTGTATATTTGTGTGTACTTCCTGTATATCTGTGTGTACTTCCTGTATATCAGTGTGTATTTCCTGTATATCAGTGTGTACTTCCTGTATATCAGTGTGTACTTCCTGTGTATCTATCTATATATGTATTTTTTGAGATTACAAACTGTTATTTTCAAAGTTTGACCAAAACAGCTACAAGTGTCATTTCCAAACATTAGATGATTTTAATCTAAATCTTGGAGGTGAATTCATTCAAGGAACAAAAGGACAATAATAATTTTAAAAAGTTGTAAAACTTTTAACTCTGCATCTGTTTTAAGATGGCAGCAATCAGCTCATCAATAAAAATAAGAAATAAACTACCGTATTTTCCAGCGTATGAGTTGCTCCGGAGTAAAAGTCGTATCCGTCAAAAAAAGCATCATGAAGAGGAAAAAAACGTAAATATGTCGCTTCAGCGTATAAGTTGCATTTATTATTCGTCACTGCTGACCCCTTGTGTTTATTATGAGTTTATTTACAGTAATGTTCAAAACAGCTTCATTTGGGATGGATGATGGATGGATGATGGATGGATCCATCCATCAGATGCTAGCTCTCCAGCGGTCCTCCACCTGCACCAGCTGAGTGAAGCGACCGCACACGGGAGGACTCGCTGTTGCAGTTCTTCGACTTTTAAAGCGTCAGTCAAACATTGCGTTATGAATATGAAAAAAAAAGTATATAAATAGCAGAACTGACAAATCTATGCAAAAAACTGCGACTTATACGCCAGAAAATACGGTACTTCTCCAAGCTGCAGTCATTTAAAGCGCTATCTGCAGCAGGTAAGATGTTAATGATTCTGAACTATTGCTACATTTACACAAACCATAGGAATGATTTGTTTGGTCGTTCCTTACCATTGAGCCATTTAGAGTTGTACTGGGCCGTTCGCAGTGGAGGCATGCCCCCCAGGCTGCGGTAGATGGCGGGGTCCCGCCCGGAGAAGTCCATGGCCGTGGCGGCGTACAGCTCCCCGCTGGACGTGATGAGGGCTGTGGAGTTGTGGAGGGGGTTGTAAGGACACCGGGCCATTCCGCTGATCTGATCGTGGATCTCCGTCAGGTTGGTCAGCTGCGTCCAGACATGAAAGGACGAAAGCAGATGGAAAATGAAAGATGAGCGTAATAACTAAATAGCTTGACTAGAAGGAATCATCTTGTTGTTTCCACAGGGAGATGATTTGTTAACAACTGGATCACCCAGAAGATCAGAAACTAAAAGAAGATGCACAACATGAGACTCACTGTGTGCTTGTTGTAAAAATATACAATTATATCAGACGAGATATCAAAGGGCAGCATTAAAATGCAAACTGTGAGATGTTTTGTTTGTTCCAGCCAATATGCAAATGGTGCAGAACACAAAAAGTACTTCCTCTCATTATATTTGGTTTTGTTTACATCTAGTGAAGCACAGACATGTAGGACCCGGACCTTCAGGAGCGAGAAGCATAATTAGAGAAGGCATCCAGAATAATTAGCAACATAAAACAACTCATCAGCTTTCTTATGGATACTGTTTACAACAAACACCTGCCTGGCAGAAATAAAGTTCATCCTCGACGTGTTCCGATGGTTTAGTCGACAGGACAAGCAGCTGCTTTTCAGACTAGAACATCATCAAGCACATCTTGGAGAGGCCTTTCTGAGCTCAGAGGAGGCTTCGTGCCAGACGCACTCTTCTGTTGCAAACCGCCTTTGAATATAAATCCAATCCCCTGCTTTTTAAAAATACTTTACAGCTTGACCTTGGGTTAGCTTTGTCCCGCCATAAAAACAGGAAATAAACAGGCCAAAGCTCAGGGACGCGGTCCTGGATAGAAAGAGGAGTACTGCCATGTTCAAATCAAAGAAGTTCTGTTTGATGGCCCTAAAATGAACAGTACTGCCGCGTGCTTTGTATTCACGGGGTAACACGTCTGCTTTAATCTCAGCTTTAGAGATGCACAAATAATTAAATATTATGGATGCAATTATTTTTCTATCAATCACTTTCAAGTTCTAAATTTGTGGTCGTCGCTGCATCTTCCAGAGCTCCGTCTTTCCTCTCGTTTTCACTAATCTGCAGATCCCTCGCTCCACGAGGGACAGAACGAGAGGCGGCCTCCATTCACTGCTTCTTCAGCCAATTTCCTCCAGCCTGTCAATTTGGATCAAAACCCCCTCCAACTCCTGCCCCCCCTCGCCGCCCGGGCCACAGCACAACAGCGCAGCCTGTTCCGTCTCTGCCAGGCTCAGATGAAAGTCGGTATTGACAGGACTGACTCTCTTGGCAGGAATAGTCCTCTTTAGGTCAATAGGGTCATTGAGAAGAACAAGAGGATGAGCAGTAAATAGACTGCAGTCCACCCGCTGCATTTTGAGGAAGTGGAGTGAACGCTGTCTCTGTGGTGGAGCGAACAGCTGCACAAGCACTGAAGAGACTTTATACACACTTTTTATTTATTTTTTATTTTAGAAGGATCCCCTCGCAGTTTAGACCAACACCAGGCAGAGCCATTCAGGCTCCGAGGGCGGGGACAGGAAGAAGTACTAACACCGGATCACAACAGGAAATCCACCGTACTTGCCGCCGTACACGTCGCACCACCTCATAAGTCGCATCTGTCCAAAAATGTCTAATAAAGTGGAAAAATCCATGTTGCATCTATTACGCGTCACCGCTGACAACCTGGAAATGTGGACTGGTGCTGTTCCAAAAATCAATTGGCTGCCAAATGTTGGCCATGGGAGCGTGCACGGATGGACTTTAACAAGAATTTAACAAGATTAACACTTAAAAACATTTATTTGTTTGCTTGACATTATAGCAAAGGTGTGTCTCAGTCTAACTTTTACTTAATAAATGCACTTTAACGGTCAAACCAGCTTCAATTCTCCGGCGGTGCAGAGAAATGAAGCTGGTTTGACGTTTGCTCCAGGTCTCTGTTGTAAATGAGCCCCCGAGGCTCAGGGGGATTAACCTGTATGAATAAAGGTTGAATGATCCCAGAGCTGGACGAAGGTGGCAGTCTATGGCAAGCCGACTGTGTCATTAATAGCCACTTTTACCTATTACATGACACAACGGCATGCCACAGTGCTCTAGTGCCATCTAGTGGCTGAAAATGGTAGTGTTCAGTATTTTCAGTCAGAATAAATGAAAACGGTTGTATCTCAGTCAAATATTGGTTTAAAAATACGGTAAAAATCCATAAATACGTTGCTTGGGCGTGTAAGTAGCAGGACATGGAAATTATGCAAAAAACTGACTTATAGGCCTAAAAAAAATGGTATTTCCACGTTCACGCTGTGTGATCAGAGACGTGAGTATCAAACTGACACATGATCACAATCTGTCAAGTAAATATGAAGAGAGCATCACGAAAAACTTGTTTTCTGCGCTTCGCCTCGTTCCCGAGCAAACTTTTCTCAAGAATCACCTCCACGAGCCGTAACAACCATCGCAACGTAAACATTTCCATCAAACACGTCCACAAAACACGCTTCCATCTTGTTTTATACTAACTCTTTGGGCTGCGTAAAGAAAAACAGATGCTGTCAGGCACAATTAAACCATTTCAGAGCAGGAGGTAATGAAAGTGGATAATTAAGGCGAGGCAGCCGACCGTCAGACGGTTAACAGCCGTTTGATCAGCAGCATCTGAGCTCATTTTTATAGTAAATGGTTCACACTCGTGTAGCACCTTTTACTGCAGTTTAGGCTCAACTAAGTGCTTCATAGTGTCTCATTCAACCAATCATGTACGCCAACAGCAGTTCTTGGTGTATGACTCCATTGTTTATTAAATGATTAAAATTCTCATCACAGCTGAGAGCCGTTCTGTCCGAGGGTAATTCCATTGATGTCCCCGTGTTTCACATTAACACAGATCCAGCTTGTAAATATGACAGCTCCCAGTGAAATAGCGCCGTAATAATGCCATGGCATTTCAACGATATGTATTTTCACAGCGGTAAACAGTCATTATGAGCCGCTGACCTTTGGATGCAGCTCCTGGTCCAAAACAAATGTCATGAGAGCAGTAAACTCGTGTCGCCCTCTTCTCAGAAACGAATAAATAAACGTAAGAGAAGCAGACTGGTGATGTGGACGTATCACAGCTCCAAGATAAGAACAGTGGTGCGGCATTTTAAGTGTTGCTTTGTGTTTAAACCAGGGAGCAGCTGTTGCCAACACTTTAATCTCTCAGTTACTCCACAACACTTATTATCTCAGCTGCAGTAAGAATCAACCCGCGGTTAATACGAGGGGAACATGTGGCGCTGCCTGCAGGAGAACCAGAGCAGGTCAAACCCTCCGATGTGTTTGTAGGGAGCCCATGTACCGCACAAAGTCTTAAAATAAGATGCCTACATTTTGATGATTTATAAACTGTAACAAAAATAAAGATCAAAACAAAGTTACCTGCCTGTCACGATAATCAATAAATCAATTAATCGCGTGATAAATGAAAATTATCAACCTCATTTTCATTTATTGGTTTTATCGTTTCTTTGTGTCGCTCTCTTTCTACTGAAGACACTGGATGACAAAAGACTCAACTCCGGTGCTCTTCACCATTCTGAGAACCTTAGAGCGACAGCCCATGTCACGTCAAGGTGCCTCCCTCCCATTTCTCTTAAAGAGACACGCTGCTCACTCCCTCACTATCCATTCTTCGGTTCAGACAGTCTTATACTGTCATCCAGTGGTCAAAAAAGGTACTACACACAAAATTAACCAACATTTCTTCTTAAATATGACAATAATTACTAATTATTGTCAAATTTCAAACAATATTATCGTTTATCGCAATAATTGTTGAGACGATTAATCGCCCAGTAAAATTTGTTATCGTGACAGGCCTAGGTACAGTTGCAGCCATGTGGGTGACTATGGTAACCACACACCTGCGTCTGTCACTGACTGCCAAATGAATGAGGCAGGCAGAAACAGACTGAAAAGTAAGCCTCAATTAGACAATGTTGAAAATTATTGGCTGTATTTTTACAATTCCTAAAGTATGAGCAATAAAAAACCTCGATGGTGTCACATATGACTTTTAAAAATGTTTTTAAATGTGTTATGTTGGAGATACCGCTCCCAGTTGTGAGGAGAAAGATATCTGAAGACGTCTGAGTGTGTGAAGTCTCTGCACGGTGGGGGTTTGAGAGAAATCTGAAGTCCCACAGCAGAGAGACCAATATCCTGAGAATTCAATTTGTTCATGCACCCAAACAAGTTGTGAGATTAAGAAGAATCTGTTAAAGACTTGAACGTTTTAGACATTTTGTGTAAAAATCATAAAAGAAACTTAAACTTTGTGTAAAAAAACCAAAAAAATATAAAAATGCCACCTCAGACTTGTATATTCTGAGCCCCGTTTGATTTTTGAATGATTTTTATTTTTAAGTAACGAAGCTCTAAGCTTCAAAAAGTGTTGGCTCTCCTGCGTTTCACCAAAACACCACTCAAATCATTATTTTATTTCTTGATTTATTTATTTTGTTGCCTATATTTGTGTGATGCCACCCAAAATCACAGCAGCCCACTCCGGACTGAGACTCACAGTTCAAATTTAATTTGTCCGTTTTATTTCAAAGCTGCATGTTAAGACACGTGACAACAGTTTTCACAGAACAGTAGTAAGAATTCAGCGTTAACAAAAAGTCTGACCAAAGGTCGTTTAAAAACAGAAGCTCGTGGGAATGTTAAGGAGAGACGAGGATCATCTTACAGGAATAAAATATAAATGAACAGCATGAAAAGGTTGTTACACAAGTAATTTCTGTAATTATTAAAGAAGTACAAATTATGTTTCCCTGGAGCCTATTGCCGTCATTATCAGGGTAATGAGCTTAATAATTTCATTGGGATGTATCATAAGTTTGAGCTATGATAATTTCCCAAATAATCCTCATTAATGGCATCCATTTTTAATTGGTCTCCGTCCCTGAGTGAGTAACAGAAGACAAAAAGATGAGTTCGTACAGTGTGTGTTGGGGAGTTAGTCTCACAACTCACCTTGATGAAATCTGACCTTTACTTTTATTGTCATTTCATTAAATAACAAATCAGTCTTCATATTCTTAGTTTACACGCCTGACATATCGCTGCTGCTCTGGACTAATGAGCTTTCCAAACATATTTTCAGCATTAGAGGAGACAGAGGCTGCTGTCAGTTTCTGACACGTCACTTGGATGCAAGGCGAGTGCTCGAACTCACAATGTTACGTTTATTTTACTAAAAACAGCCAGAGGAGGCTGCCCTGGTTAAATTACTACATCAAATGAGATTATTTGAACAGGTTACATTAAAACAAAGTTTAAAATGTGGTCAATTTAGGGTGATCTAGTCGTATATTTAGAAATTATCAATTTGTGTTTTAACATTAAACGGGTGCAATAATGTAACTGCATAGGTGTGTGTGTGTTTACTGTATTTTTCAGACTATAAGGTAAACTTAAAATACTTTCATTTTCTCATAAATCGACAGTGGTTATAATCCAGTGCACCTCATGTATAAAAACAGACCTGTTCATTGATATTGTGCCTCATAGTCAGAAAAATATGGTAGAAAATGTCTCACAAACCACTAGAGATACTATAATAAATGATCAGAAAGTAACTGTCAGAATGTACATCATCAACTGATGAACTGTTTACACAAGAACAACCTCCAGCCGGGTTGCCAGAGAAGAAATGATGAACTATTGTACTGGCGCCTCAAAATGGTTGTATTTTGTGTTCGGTGAACATGTGCACAGAAAGGAGGGAGTAAAAAGACATGTATGTTTACCTGGCAACCCAAGATGCTAGGCTCAGCTGCATGCATTGCACGTGCAGTGTCAGCATGATCACAGTTACATCCAAACTGGTGAATATGTGAATGTTCTATTGGACCTAGGATGTTGTTGGTTTGCTCCTACATGCTGAAAGGGAGTGAGTAGCACAAGAACCTCAACCACCTGAAGTGATGTAACCGGTAACTGATGTAACCGGTAACTGATGTAACCGGGGACAGACGTAACCGGGGAC